CCGGCGCGTGGGCACCCCCCTCTCCCGCCGACACCCCGGCGCAGGCGCCGCCGCGGGCAGCCCCGACCGGGGGGCCTTCGCCCGGGCGTCGCGCACCTGACGTCACCGCGCCCACGTGGCGGCCGGCGCTTCCGTCTGCGGGCGGCGGCGCCACAGCGCCCCCTGCGGCCGGGCGGGCGGCGCGCTCAGCTCTAGCGCCCTCCCGCCGGCTTCGCTTACGGGACCGGTTAGCGTTCATTAATTAGACTCGTAATCATGCGTCTGCTGCCCCTTCCAGCCCGGCTTCCCCCGACTCACTGCTCATTAATTAGTGGCTGCTTATTGATCAGCAAATCAATGATTAATTCATCATTAATCCACTAGTAATCGTTCACTGAACATTATGGTCTCGTTAGTTAATGGCTGCTTATCAACGTAAAGCAATGGTATACAATCAATTAGTATGGTATAATTAGTACATACAATCAATGGTATACGGTCAATTAGTCATTAGTAATCAACCATTCGTTGGCCATTAATGCAAAATTTTGACCCTTGCCGCCCTACTCCTCCAGGACCCTCGACTATATGTTCATTCCCAATGGACAATCGCTTATTAATTAGTGGCTGCTTATTGATCAGCATAAAGGACTGCTATCCAATCAATGATCAATTCATCAGTAATCAACTAGCAATCATTCTTTGGCCATTTGTTTAATGTTTTGCCCCTTCCAGCCCTACTGCTCCAGGGCTCTCCGTTTGTTCTCAATTACTTATGCTACTTGATAATTAACAAGCAGCTATTAATGAATAAAGCAATGTTATAGGATCAATCATTAATCATCTAGAAATCATTCTTTGGCCATTAATTTAATATTTTTTAACCCTTCCAGCTCTACTTCTCTAGGACTCTTGATGAATATATTCATTCCCAGTGACTAATTACTTGTTCATAAATGACTGATTATTATCATCATAAAGCACTGCTATACAATGAAGGATTAATCAATCAACTCGTAATCTTCATTGGCCATTCATTTAATGTTTTGACCCTTCCAGCACTACTGTCCTATGTTTCTAAATTACTAATTACTTATTAATGGACACATCATCAATTAACATAATGCAATGTTTAATGAGTGTTGATCATATATCAACAAGTAATCATTCATTGGCCATTAATTTAATATTTTTTTAATCCTTCCAGCCCTAGTTCTCTAGGACTACTTGACTATATGTTCATTCCCAGTCACTAATTACTTATTCATAAATGGCTCCTTATTAATTGATTAACATAAAGCACCGCTATACAATCAATGATGATGATTAATTTAATCATTTATCAACTAGTAATCATGCATTGCCCATAAATGTCTCGACCCTTCCAACCTTAGTTCCCTGGGACTATTTGACTATATATTAATTGCTAGTGACTAATGACTTATTAATGGCTGTTTATTAATCAACATAAATCAATGCTATATGATCAATGATGAATAATTAATCAACAAGAAATAACTGATCGGCCATCAACTTAATATGCTTTGACCCTTCCAGCCCTACTCCTCTAGGACTCTTGACCATATATTCATTCCCAGTTACTAATTATTTATTAATGGCTGCTTGTTAATTATGGATTAGCATAAAGCAATGCTGCACTATCAATGATGATGATGATTAATCAAGTAATCATTCACTGGCCATTAATTAATGTTTTGACCCTTCCAGGCCTACTCCTCTAGGACTCTTGACTATATGTTCTGTCCCAATTACTAATTTATTCATTAATGACTGCTTATTAATTATTATTGACCCTTGCCACGGCAGTGCCCGGGGAACCGGCCTGGCGAGGGGTTGGGGGGCAGCAGAGCCGAGCTCCCCGGGGGACAGGAGACTTTGCATCCTGCCCTGCTGCGATCGGAGCTCTTTGCAACAGGCCTCTTATTATTGGTAGTGAAAAAACTAACAGCTGGCATTCGCCCAGGGGCACCTCGAGTCTAACAAGGGACTCCACGCGCCCACAAGGGTCAAGGACCACCGAGGGAAGCATTGGCTTATAAAAACCGCCGAGTCTCAGAGCCCGGGGCTGCTTCCCACCCACCATGTGGGCTGCGGGACACGTGCCCAAGCAGCTGGAGCAGCAGAGGGGCCGTTTCACCCTGCCCAAGGTCAAAGCAGAGAACCAGCCCCTGGCGCAGGTAACTCGCGTCTCCAGCTGCGAAGGGACCTCGTGAGATCACCTCTCGTCCAGCTCCCTGCTCAGGACAGGTTCATCTCTGCCTGGACCAGGAGCAGGGCAGACAGACGCACGGACGGGCTATGGGTTCGTCTACCCGGGAAGGGTCTTGTCCGAGGCAGGCTCGGCCCTCGCCGGCAGGACGTGGGGCTGCTAGGGGCCGGAGACCCTTCCAGCTCTTTTCTACAATCCTATACCTCTACTCACGGAGGCGCCAGGATCTGACTTTTCCCGACACGGTGACTCAGACGTGACGGGGAGAGAGGGCTCTGCTCCACCGCCTTCGTGCCTCTCACCCCCAGCCCCACGTCAAACGCAGCCCTGCCGTGACTCAGAGGCAGCTGCAATTAGAAGCTGGTTAATTTGGGCAGCGCTACAGGGGCCAGAGAGCAATCCAAGTCCTCTGCGGGGAGAGGGGGACCTGGTGCCAGCCAAGGAGGGCGAAAAGATGAGTGCCCGCAGGGGACCACATTTGGCAAACCGCGGTGGTTTGAATGGAGGGCTAGAGCCACAACTGTGGGGAAGGGGAGAGACGTGCATCTGAAACCCCCCCGGGGCCACAGCTTTGTTCTGCTCATGCAGGGTTTATTTGTTTTCCTTTGCAATTACTACAGTCAGCAAGAGGGGGTGACGGTAAAACATGCAACAGGAGCCCCGTCCCCATCCCACTGAGTTTGCCCGACACGGGCCGCAAGGCTGGGAGCAACCGCGGGGCACGCGCCGGCATCTGACCCCTGGGAACAAAACCTTCCACACCGACAGGCGCCGTACGTACGATCCCGAGCTCCCAGCCCACGGTGCTCCCGGCTCGGCCGCCTCCTGTCTGCTACCTACTCTGAAGGGAAGGAGAAGGGATTGAACCAGGCAATGGGTCACGACCGCAGTGGATGCTGAGTGCTACTATGTCGGCTGCCCAGGCCGGAGGGGGAGGATCTCCCAGTCCCGGGGGTGGGGGGGCTCCGTGTGACCCACGTCCCTAGAGCTGGCTGTAGCCACGTGGAAAGGGAGAAATGTTTCCTCGAGCCAGCGTATGCAGCTTGCTTGCACTCAGGGGGTTTGGGAGGAAGGGAGCTGCGACCCAGGGACGTAGCAAAGGGTCTCCCAGCAGCAAGGGGGGACAGCCGAGATCCTGGACATGAGGTTTTTCAGCTCTTCAAAAAGGCAGGGGAGAGGGGCACCAACATGGGCTGGCCCTGCCGGAGATCAGAGGGCCGGGAAAGAGCGCACTGGCGGGGTAAGGGGAGGGTAGCAGAGACCGTCTTCCCCGTGTGTCTGCCTCGGCTGGGAGGCGGCCTAGCCTAGCACAGCCACGGCCCTGCAGGGCACAAAGGGAGCCCTGCCCTGCTCTGGTTTGCGGGGGTGGGAAAAAAAAGAGAGTCCAAACCCTGGGTGTGGACAGCACAGGGACAGGGCATGGCCCAGGCCTCCCCTCCCCAGAGTGGCAGGTGGCGGGGTGTCTGTCAAAGCCAGCATGAGCAGGGGCAGCTCTAGGGAATATATTACATCATTAAATAGAGGAGGGGGGTGGGAAGAATCATGTACAGCCGGGAGGGAGCTCCGGAGAGAGCAGAGGGGTCCCAAGAGGACG